AGTTTAGGCAACTTATATTTCCGAATTGTAAGATAGGGTTTGGTTATCAAACTGAAAGTGTCTTAATGTAATTTGATTTGGAGCTGGCTAGAAAGCTTGACATATCTTGGCTTTGTGATGAAGGGACAGTAATATTTGAGGTGGTGATGGTATATGCTCCATCTGTAAGTAAAATATCTAGCCAATGAAAATAGGTTACTAAGAATGTTTGTCCCTTTTTTGTTTGAACAGAAAGCGTGGGAAGTGGCACAAGCGCCTTTTAAGAATTTGATGATGATGGGCTTCATGATGTGGATGGCTGGCAGTACAGTGCATCTCTTTAGCATTGGCATCACATTTTCAGCTCTTTGGCAGCCTATAAGTGCTTTGCAAGGGGTTGGAAAGGGTAAACTGGACACAATAGATGATTATTTCTCTGTTCAGTATACTTAATCTGTTACTGTTTCTTTTTTCCACATCTGAGGTTATGGAAGTTAGCCCTTGTGAGCTTCACATAGCATCAATTTGTAGATCTAATTTTGCATGTGACATTTGGCACCTACATGATATTCATGTATGCTCCTCAAGTACGTTTATCCAAACTTGACTTTGATATTTTGCAGTTTTTGAGCCTTACAAAGACAATAAAGTAGATCTTCTTGGTCCCAAGCTGCTCTTCATTGCCCTTAATTTGGGGGGTCTAGCTCTTGGTGTTTGGAAGGTGAGATATATTTACCTACTATTTTTAAAATGGGCTGTCTTAAAATGGATATTACTAGAAAGGAGGATAAAGAAAAAGGAGAGAAGATTTATTAAGTGAACTTTGCTGCCTCTGGTATTTTCAATTTTTCATATTTGATTCAATTTTTGGCAGCTTAACACACTGGGGCTTCTTCCGACACATGCATCAGACTGGGTTTCATCATTACCCCCTGCACAGGTTTGTCATTTCTTCTTCTTGCTTCCTTTGTAACTGATATTTTAGTTTTCCTTGGTAGAAATAAAATCTTTGGGTGTTAGGGGTGGGGGTTGGGAAGGGCAAACATTCTCTTTCTATTTCAAAATATGATGGCTTCCTAATATGAAAGACAATCATCATAGGAATAACTATTGAATTGGGCGTACCAATAGAGGTTTGGTACACTTGAAACTTCAATGTTCCTTTGTCTTGTGTTCATTCCATTGTTGATATCTGTTTAGTGGGGCAGAAATTGATGAGTGGTTTTTAGAATCAATATTTTTTCATTTTTTGGCTATACAGAATCAATGTTGTTTACTCGACAACATGTGTGACTCTGTTCTTTATGGAATTTCGAAGCATTTAGTGGTACTTTTCACTAACACCTATGATTTCTTTGTTCAATTCAGGAAATTGAGTATTCAGGTGGATGCATTCCTCTGCAGTGAGCCACTTTTTCATCTTTAATCACCTAACTCACAGAAGCAGATTTGCAACCTCTTTTTGGTTGCTTGAAGTATTTCTGTCTAAAGAACATGCCATTGATTCTCCTATATTTTACAAACCATAGTTTTCGTTATGTGGGATGATATATAGGTTGAATGCATTTCCATACAACTTAGCGGATGTATTATCATCCACAGTTGTCTTCAATGTAGCAATTTTCTGTTTTATTTCTTTTTCTTCCTTTTTCCATTTGGACTAGTTCAGGAGAACAATTTTTGTATTGAGCTTGATATGCATTATGCAACATGAAATGAATC